GCGACCCACAATTCAGTCAATTTTACAATTGAGCGGGAGAATAATGGCCGAACCCCATTCCTGAACGTCCCACTGCACCACAACCTAGATGGACCTACACAAAGAGCTGTATACAGAAAACCAACGTGGACGGGACAGAGAGTGAACCTACATAACCTTATATCCCTGAAACAAAAGATAAATCTGGTCGGCTGTCCAGCTATGTGGGGACGGAAAATTTTCTCTCCCAACACCGTGACAGAAAAGCTTGGGTGAATCAAGAACATTCTCCGTAAGAATGGCTAACCGGATGATCTCATAGACAGACATTTGACAGATAAACCCAAGAAATCGGTTGTTCATACGATTAATAGGAAACTTTTCTACTTGCACATACCATTCGAGGGTAATAACACGGTTGAATTGTAGTGTATCGTAGTCGGATAGTTCGTTAGTATGAAACACAGTCCTGGACCTGATAGATAATTCCACGAGAGTCTTGCAATGGAATTTGGTCATGCAGGTTAATCACAAATCACAATAACTTCCACATGTGCCCATTTCACAAAGAAAATCACCGCGAACACAGGATTCACAGTCAACCGGAATTATTCCAAAGGGAGAACGAGGTTACGATTCAAACTGAGGTGTATATTAGGATAATCCGAGAGCACGGTCATTCACACAAGGAGGCAGAACGGGAACAGAGCAGACGTTCAAGTCTCTGGGGCGTTGCACAAGAAAAACGGGTACAATAGAAAGGGAATCAATCAAAAAATAACTCTTCGCATGTCTCCCTTCTAGTCTTGACTGGCATCATTTGTGTTCTCCTGCCGGGCGTGGTCCCTCGCATTTGCAAGGCAAGGGGTAAAGGGATATGTGATTACGGCGGGTAATTCGACTCTCTTGGATACCTTACAGAATGGGTGACTAGAAAAATCAATCAAGTGTCACAACAAAACGTTTAAAACGGCTGAATTTTGCATGAATCTTACCACATCTTCAGCCACACCGTGGTGGTCAAGCGGTAAAGGTCACCAAATTATCACACCAGAAGACATGTATTCGAATTCCATCAGCACCGCCTTACTGAGACAGTTGAACTAGGACAGCGAAAAGTGCTATCTACCAACTCATACTAAAGACATAACACTTAGTTAATGTTGGTCAAGCTTGCCGCATCGTATACTGCACGCCTTCATAATTACGGTAACACTTCTGGTTTATCATACGAGGCTCAGCCGAGGCAATTGGTATCCAATCCTTGTTCCCCTCCCCTCTGCCATCCGAAGCATTTCGTTCGGGCTTGAGCTTCGTCATGACCGTAGATGAAAAAACCCAATAATACACCTGGGGAAACATCACTGACCTAGCCTAGAGAAAATTCATACACATGCACATAGTGTAATCTGCGTACATAGTTTGATCTGATCCAAACCAGATCGAACAGTACAAACAACCCCCATATATATGTGTGTGCTAACCAGTTGATGAATTATTTGATGATGAATTGTTTTACCCATTCGGCTTTGTTTTCCATGTGGCTATGGGCAATTTTTGTTAACCAGACTATCACGTCAGTTAACTTTGTTGATTCGTTTTCAGCTGTTGCATACATGTGGTAACTTAGTTTATAGCGCTCTCTTTGCGGTCAGATTGTATGAAGCATTCCTGCAAATTCTAACTGGGATACGTGGCAAGCAGATAGAATGTGGTTTGAAGTTTCATGGCTCTTGGTGTTAGGAAACCACAAACGACAATCGTGCCCAAACTCATAGCTCGTAAGGTTTAATGACTACGTTTCACGTAAGAGGAAAAGTGATGGAAAATTTGGAATCAGGTGAAATTTTTTCCTGTCTATTCAGTTGGACGCGTTATGACGCATTATGATGGGGTTTCTGATGCAAAACAAGATCTCCGTCCGGTCAACTTATTAAAATGGACCAAAATATCAATTTCGCATTAGTTTGTATTACGGACCAGGATTGAGAAAAAACGGCTTACAGTATATTTTAGGACACACACAGTACCCAGCCCAACTCTGTTTATCCACCTCGTTGACTTTGAGTGATAAACACAAATAGTTCCACAGATTTTTTTTCTGTCTAGACCACGAATATGTAGCCATAGCGACTCTTTTACGAAATTGACAGAAAACCATCGATTTAAACTTACTTGGGGCAAGTGAAACATCCCACCTACCACAAACCCATTCTCAGTCTTGTATGCCAATAACAAGCGCGACAGAAAAGGCTGATATAGACAAGAAAAAGCAATAATGGACCACACCGTTTTCAAACCGGAGAATTTAATGTCCGAACGCACGTCGTAAAGCTTCTCACGGTTGTCAACTACTCACAATCACCAAGTCAGGAAACTATTGGAAAAGTGGGAAGATAGCATGAATACCCAATTGTGAACTTACACGAGAGGCGTTTGAATACATACGCCAATCTTTGCGCATCCGTCCAGTGTCTTGCGACTTGACTAGCCCAAAGCTCACTGAGAAAATTCTCTGTTAGATATTTCTCAAAGTAGACTAGGAATTATTGTGTACCGTGCAGTTCGCAATTCATAGGTTTCTTTGAGGGATACAAATCTTTTATCAATCCATTCGTGATATTTAAAAAAACGGCATGTGTTTCTTACGGCAGGTTCAATGTCACATAACTACAACCAACCATACGCATTTTGAATTTGTAAAGTTGTTCTGGTCGTAATGAACATTCTCAGTCTATTTTATTCACTTTTTGATTACCATTAACGCTAGGTCCCAGATGGGTGTTTAATTATCGAAAAACCGGTAGTGGTGGTTACCACCACGTCCATAACTTGAACAGTCTGTCGCGCGGATTTCGGACAGGTTACAATTGTTCTCTCCAGTACCAAAATACATATGATTGTTCTTATGGATTTTGTTGAATTTATACCATCTTTTTGTGTGGCGAATTATTTTGCTCTGTCTGTTCTTTTTCCCCTCGCAATATCACTCCTACTTTCCAGTATGTAGGGGAACAAGAAAATCGAGACCGTTATTTGAAAATCTACGCGGATCTGGCGGTGGAGTTTAAAACAAACATCGTCTTCTCTTGCGGCTCTGATGAGTTTTTTATCGGTCGTGCTGGTTATCTGGCCGGTATCGCAATGCTTCGTTCGTGGACCGGCGAGGTAGGTTCAGCATCGGTGGTGTGTATGTTTCTGCGCTTCCCTTCGACAGCATTCCTACATTTCATTTTCCTCCTGTCTTTCTTCTTTTCTGTCTTTTGGCACTACTTTATCATACTCCGGTTTAAAAAATATTTTCCTTGGTCCAATCCATCTGACTGAATGGGCATCCTGAACTGAATCGCTATACATTACTTCACATTATCCGGAAGTGGATATTTTAATCTCCGGTTGGCTCGTTGGACAATCTAAA